TTTAGCATCGTGGTTAGGTGCATATCCAGGGCACGAGCAAGAAGCCGTTCTGCATGCTCGTGCTTCAACCATTCCAGTGTCTTGGTACCTAAATGCTAATTAGTTTAAATTATTTTTCCAACAAAGTCCTTGGTATACTCTTCTATTTTTTCCCAAAACAGCTGTTTTTAACCTGCATAGCAGTATATCCGTTGGAGTATTCAAGGATAAGTCCTTTGTTTGACTCACGATCAAGACCTCATTGAGCGGAGCGTTTCGTTCTTTAAGAAAAAAGTTCCGACAAAGATAGATATCTGATGTAAGATCGCATTGATGCATATGATGCTTTTCTCATAAATGCGGCCATCGACAGCATTCTGACATTGTTCGGGACATTTTCTAGCTATGACCATGCAGTCATTTACTTCGGCACTTTATATCTACATTGCCATTTAGAACAAACTGGAAGAAACCACGAAAACATTTGATCAAAAACTCACTTTCTTAGTACTTTGCTCACACAACTGTGTGTGATCCCAAGCTGTTTAGCAATATGAATCTTCTTCATACCATTCTCGAACAACTGGACGATTTTCTGTCGATCACAGGTTAGCAACGGGCGCCCAGATATGTAAGGGCGACCGTAACGATTGCGCGATGGGTAAGGAACTACAAAACAGGAGTAATTTGAGTAGGCTTTTACTGTATCCACTAATCTACAATTTCTCTCCTGCCTTAGGTCAAACACAACTTCTCAAAGTGGTTCTTACTTCTATGGATTTACTTACTTGAATTTTCCTATGGAAGCAAGGGGAAGTCACTCGGTACTAGTAGTTTTTGGAAAATCTTCGAATATAAAGTTTAAATAGTAGGACTTATGGTCGATGACACAAAGCACAACTTTTAAAGGTTAAAAATAACCACATGAGAAACTATGTAATTACTGACAAATATTAGAAGTGGTAGCTGCATGAGAAAAACAAAATTACTTACTCAGATGGGTATAAATTTTCACTTACCGAAAAAGGAGAGAAGGAGTTTTTTCATCTTATCTATCCTTCACAAAATTTGACTTCATTGATATTTATTCCATATTACATGATATTTAAGGTAAAAATCGTTCAATTTCAGTTAATGATCAACTTTATGGGATAAGTGTGCGCAAACATCAGTTACGTTTTGTTCTGGAAGATCCTAAACAAACTTTGAGGAGGGGACGAAGGTGTCGTAAAAGAAAGGAGCGTTGTTACGCGGTTATTGATGGACTTTGACTAAAGAAGTTTAGTAAATTCAGTCGCAAAGAATAAATCCTCCTCGGAAATTTTAAAAATCTTGAAAAATGTAGGTTTTCCTCTCAACATCATAAAAAATATATTCTGCTCTGGAACAATAGAATTATACCATTCATCAACGGTTGCGATTGCATAGCAGTTTCCATGATAGGATTTCGTGGATTCAACGACTGAGCGAATGATTCCAACATGAGTAAATTACCTATAGCATTGCTCTAAACAGGAAGCAACATTATTTTTGAGTGCAGAGTTTGGGAGACCAGAAGCAAAGATGGACCTCGATCTGTGGAGCGGAGGAGTCCGCATGTGGGCGAAGAGGAGAATCGCTCTCACATGTTGAACCTAATCTCGGGAAGAAGAACTAAATATGGTTTGCTCGAGGTGAAGAAAGGCACAATAATCTAAGTCTACGAAAATGCTTAATTTGAGAGTCAGATAGCCTAATTCATCAAAAACATTTGACAAGAGGACAAGCCTGTTGGAGCTGTGCAGCAGCAGGATTCATGTGTGCGTCTCCACCATGCGCTTGCGACAAACACAGCGGCTCTCTCGTTGGCTAATGCGTATTCAACTACGGTATATTATCGTAGAACATCCTCGCCGCGATATCTTTCAACAATGTCGAATCGCCGCCACCACTTCATCATCGAATCGTCAAGGAAAAACGCTCATTTAGGATGTTTTTTTCCCGAACCCATATATTAGATACTATCCATATCGTTGAAATCAAAAGGAACCTGCGAGAAGGCAAGATTTGCCAATAAATCCGGCAAAAAACACCGCGTTAAACATCGTCGCCAGCAAGAAAAAAAGCCTTTTCAAGCTGCTGTTTATTTAAGGACTCATTAACGTATTTCAATTATGACATTATTCGAAAACTACGAGCGGGCGTTACTTCAGTGGAAGGCAGTTACGGATGAGTGACTATTTGAATGATAAATAGTTGGGAGCCTCGCTAATAAAACAATGCTACACCCTCTGCAAGCATTTTGTGCTTGCTGAAAAATGATTTTCTGGGCTTTTCAAAAAAGTGGAGACTCCTATATTTGATAACTTTATTGGAAATATGCGACTTTCACACGATTTTCTTGTCTTTATCAATTCTCATAAATTTAATTGTTGCATCGAAATATGTAGTTCTAGCACAAATCATTTGATATTCAATAATTCTGTATATCTCGAGCAATCATATGTAGACTTCAATGTTTACAAATTTGACAGCGACTAAAAACCTAGAAGTGTTTTTCCAATATAAAGTTCTTTTGAGTACAAAAACTCAACTCGGAAGAATGCGTGGCTAAGCGCCTTCAACAACTAATATTACCTGGAGCGGGTTGAGCAGTTGCGAAGGGGAAGGCGAGCAGAAGTTACTATAGCTTGCCGCCTTCTCTAGACTAAGAAGTATTTAGAAAGACTCGAGTGCTTTAGGTAATCGCGCTACATCTCTACTTCTATTGCTGATATACATATAGTATTTAGTTTAATGTGCAAAAGATAAGATAATGGATATTGCCTCTTCGTTTTTTAAATTCAAAAGTATCAGAGATATAGAGCTTAACTTTGGCGTTTGAAAATCAACTATCATATTAGTACTGATGGACTCCTTACATTGTTTACTCTATATAGGATTTATTCCAGTTTTACTGAAATATTCTCTAAAAAAAGTGTTAAGAAGAGTCGTAGTGAGATTACCTTTCTTTTTACTTCATGTAAACATCCAACAAAATTTCATTGGAGCACTTTTTGATTATTTTTAATTTGAAGCTGTCCGTCTAGATGTTTAGTGCCTGATATTGTTTGCAAATGTCTGCAGTTGCAGTGCAAAATTTTGAAATTACGATCTGCACACAGTAAGACTTCTTCCAACATAGTACCTAACCGCAAAAAGCATTTTGTTAATTTTCACGCCTACTTAACAATTTACTTTCGCAACTCATTCTCTTACACATGGTCCGCTAAGTGCCCTGTGCAACGGAATGAAATGTACATAGGTTGAGGTCCGCGCGAAAAAGTTCATTGTAGTGGTTGGCCCAATTGTAAATATGCAATTATAAATCGGGTTTGAAAGGTGGAGACCCTCTTGGCACCTAAATGCTTTGTATTTTTGTAAGCAAATATACTTGCTTTCACTTGGCATGCTGAGCACATACATCATGTCATTACAGAAATAGTACATTCAAGATAGATGGAAATTTCTCTGTAAAAATGCGACTTGAACAACTACAAAAAAAACTTTCGATAAGTGTTTCATGTTCTTTCATCTTTAGACCGAGGCATGTAGTGTGTCACTATAAAGACTTTATCAACCTGTTGTGGGTAGAATCTTTATTGCCTGAGGTTTTTAGTATTGTCAATATCACGTTTCATGGACTTCTTATAAAGAGCCTATGCCAAACCGGATGTTGTTTTGAAATTTCCTATTCTCTCAAGCGATATTCTCATGCAGACCTCAGCGGCAGGTCTCCGGAAGGCAAGCTGGAATTCGTTTTTGTGGAAAAAGCAAGGGGGAAATCGTATGGGGT